TTCCCAAATGACAAAATCAATTTTTTTGAGTGGAGGACATAAATTGGACTGTTAGGTGTCTTGTGTCCAAATTTGGTGTCAATTCCCCCAGTGGTTTTTGAGTTCTGATGGTAGCACAAACTAACATTACATTTTTATTTATATAGATGAATTGATACAAAGAGAAGTAATAGTGCTAACAAGTTAAAATATTGATTACCAGTGCAGATTAATGAAAAAGTAGACACTGAAAGCAGACAAATAAAGGTGTATCTGCACTATATGAGGGATGAATGAAAAGTAATGCCTCCATCTTCATTACTTAGGTTTGGATGGGATTATTTTAACATATCAAACACAGAAATAATACTTAGAATGTGCTCTTTAACTACCACTATTCACTTTTCCATCTAATCACCAGGCAATTGGATACATTTCTGCCAATAATGAACAAGTTTTCTGAAGCTGTTATGGAAGAAGTCGACACTATGTTCCCGCAACCCATCATGCACAGATCTTCTGATAGCCAAGCAAAGCAATAATGTGAACCACAAGTTCTTGTGAAATGCCGACTATGCTTGAAATTTCTCTCTGAGTGATACAACGATCGTCCTGAATCAATATGTCAACCTTTTGCTTGTGAAACTCGGTGGTTGCTGTCACAAGAGGTCCAACTCTTTGTTTGTCACGCAAGTCAGATGTTCCCATCTCAGCATCTTTAAACTTACTCGCCCAACAATGCACAGTACTCACATCAACACAATCACCATAAACAGCTTGAATTCTCTGATGAATCTCCTTTGGGGTGACACCTTCTGCTGTCAAGAATTCTATGATTGCACATTGCTTAAGTCGCATTGGCTGACTGTCTGTGCAGGGTTTTATACTTCGCACTTTAACAACACAACCATTCAATGCTAAGGCTTTGAGCCAAAATGGAATTGTAGATGAAAGTCTACTGAATAAGCCAGTACCTGCCGCATACCAGTACTGCCATCTGTTGAGGAGTTACGAAGATGGAGGCATTACTTTTGATTCAGCCCTCGTAGAGTTAATGCAGATTGATGCCACCTTAACTTCCTTGGCTCAAAGCTATGGAATCCAGGAATTTATAGTTTGCTGAAGCATCAGTACGATTTGGAAGAGAAGGCTAAAGACCTTCTAAAATTTCATTTATTCTAGTGTATATGCATTATAAGCCTCTTACTGAATTTGTCAATTGAAAAATATGTGTCTACTCGGGGAGATAGGGCAGGTTAAAAATAAAGTATTATTATTATTATTAAGTATTATTATTATCCCTGCATTTTTATTTTGGTTTAGTATATGAAAAAATAAACATATATTTGGACTGATTTGTTAAATTGTATATGAGATTCAGCAAATGTATTGATACATATGTTTCAAAAGACATCAGGATTCAGCCAAAGCAAAACCCCTGTAAATCCATTTTTTTTCATTTGGTTTTATTGAACAGAAGCAGAGATCATCTGAGTCATCTTTTGAGAGAAAATAGCTTTCAGAAAACGTCTTGACACTCAGGCATGTAGTACCAAAAAGGCAAGCCTTCAATGTACAGTATGTATTTCATGTACAGGATACAGGATACAATAAATTAATATCTACATGCAACATACATATAAGAAAGTTACATACACACTGTAAAAATACAATATTTTTCAGCTTATTTTGTTTTAATTTTTTTATATATACAGGTTTTAATTTACATTTTTTACAAATTTTTGTAAACATTTTTTTTGCTTATAAAAAAAATCAGAGCACACCACACATCAACACCATTCACATCTGCACTTCAAGATGGCTACACAATGCTACGAATCCTAAGTTTTGTTGCTGCTTCATTTCTACCAAGACCTTGCTTTCACATCATTGGACTATAAATCTCTTCTTTTGATCACTTTGCATATATGTCAAGATACTAAGTAATGCAACTATATAAGTCTGAGCCTTAAAAGAAAAAAAATGGCAAGCAATTAAGTGTCATTAACAACCATTTTATCAACTTCACATTTTACCACCTTTCTGCTAACAGCTTTAACTTAAGCATGCAAACATATTATTATTATGGATTTACTTATGACAATTTAAAAAAGATTGAAATGAACTGAGGGAGTTAGTAGGTAAAGGGAAGGTGGGACTTTACAGTTCTAATTTAAGTAATATGTCCTATATTTTTACACTAACACTAAACTTTCTGAATACAATTTATCCCTAATTTGAGGATATGAAAGCTGGCCTATAGATCTTTTAACACCAACGATCCCTAGAACATATTTTAAATGAGCAGCTTATTCCTTCCTAAATAATCTAAGCTTATGCCTGATTAAATTTGAATGAAATTCCTGAAAGTGAACAGTTTTAAAGCAACGAGGCTGCTTTTTCTTGGAAAGTATGCACAATGAAAGTTTTGGTTAAAGTACTTTAGTCAAAAAAGAAAAGAAAAAAAGCATATACTTCTTTGCAACCGAGCCTGTCCCCAAAATACTTCACCGTTAAGCCTCAGTCTCTAATTTCAGCAGAGCATTCAAGTGCATATCAAGCACGCCAGCTATTGTATCGCCTGATGGCAGGCGGCATGCACTCGTGAATACTTGCCGATGAAGACGGCCCCTAAATGCTACTTGGCTACAATCTGATTTATTGCACTAAGGAGGAAAGCGCAGTACATGTTTTGAAGACTCAATGAGGCCTTGTAGCAAGGTCCAGAGGGTGCTCAGATACGTATTGCCTAAGTACTGTAATGCACAAAGAGCCCGACCTAGGAGTCAAAGGAGAGAGCCGGCCACTTTGACTTCGGTTTGAAGTCAAAGAAGAAGGAGCCTTCCAGGTCGCTTGGGGGAGAGCTGCTCAGGCTTTCTGCAACTCATATCTTCATAAGAATCCTCACTCTTGCTTCCATCAGAGCATCCAGCCTCAGGAATGGTGGGCAACTCAGGAACACTATAGTAGCTATTTTGAAGATTTTGGGCAGTGCGTCTTGAAACAATCCATACTAATTTTTTATGGTCTGGTTTGCAGCAGGCAGGAGAAGAGTAATCTGCTAAGCATTTCGAGACCAGTTCTCTCCAATACAGTAAGTCACTGTCACTTATCTTTGAATACTTCTGAACACACAGAACAATCTCAAACAACTCAATGGACTTTAGAGTCTGCACTTCCAGAGACAGAAGGCACAGGGCCAAGACCGATGGTTTTGCTTTTGAGAAGACTAGTCGGCAGTTACAAGCTTTAAATTGTGCTTCCAGTTTGTCGAGATTCAACCATTCTTTCCTTTCTGAGGTATGACAGAGTACTATAGTATGGTACAAGTGCAAAAAGGTTAAGGCAGTAGTAGCTTTGAAGTCAAAGTGCAGTTTTTCTGAGATTATTTTCTCCATCCACTTCAGATCAGATGCTGTGCATTTGCACTGGCTAATTCGGATGACATCGTGGAGGGAGGGAATGTTGCATTGCTCTTCAACCACTTGAGCAGCCAATTGAAAACAACAGACGCCAATGCAGCAGCAACGCCATGGCCTCCTCCTCCTCCTCCTCCACCCGTTTCCCCTCAGCCGGGGCCACAGCACCATCTCCTCACTCACCCTGGAGCAACATCAAAATCGTAAATCCATTTAGTTCCAGTTGAGGATAGTTAATATGCATATGTGTACGTATATATTTAACTCAGTCATATAAATAAAAATGACTTTAAAGTGCTTTGCAATGTTCAATCAAGTTGTGTGTGTGCTGAAATGGAACAGTTGCATTTGTCATTATGGGAGGAAACTGTCTGATTTCACGCACAAGCTTATTAGGAAGTAGATCCTACTTTTGCAGGTGCGGTATTGCAACACAGTGTGTAATCAATTATTAGTACTTAAGGGAATTAAGTGAGATGTGCAATTAAGTCTTAGATCTATGTGTGGGAGGAAAACCCTTGGTGGATGACAGTTTATGGAAAACATGAATATCTGCCCTGGGTAGAAATGGAGCTGCTTAGTTTTTGCCAGCATGCCCTGAAAAGCCTGAAAGCACTCAGCTGGCATGGCAGGCGAGCATGCCTTGAATTTTAGCCACCTTGGAAATAAAGTCAGAGCAGGAATAATCACATTTGGACCACAGACAATAGAATATCCAACCAATATGGCCATTTTTGGAATTGTGTGGAATTTCTGGAATTTGCTGTCCAAAAATGTAGCTTCTCCAAAGTCTGACAGTTCTATAATCCCAATAAACAACTTGTTTTGGCTCAAAAACGTCTATTTTGATAAGGGCACATGGAGTGGAGGGATAAGCCCTAACTATTAAATTCTTCTAGGGATTCCTTTTATCAGGGATGGCAAATCCGTCCCCTTCTATCACTAGGGCTGGAAACTATGGCCATGCAGTCTAGATTATGATATCAAATAATCTACATTATTTGTTTTGAATTGGATTATATGAGCCTACACTACCATAGTAAAAGCAATGGTATTCCCTGTAATCACCTATGGATGTGAGAGCCTGACCGTTGCAGAAACTGACCTGGTGGGGCTGTTCAGCGAGCGCTCTTCCTCCTCCTCTTCTCTGGATCTCTGAAGAGGATTGAGATAAGCCTGTTGAGAGAAAAACGTTTGCATGACTCTTGGGTAAGGATTAAAAGGCAGGAGAATTATACTACGTTTTACATTTTTATTAAAAAAATAAACTATAAAAATCATACACAATATAAATCAAGGATTTTTTTACCAAGAGGAGGGCSATCTGTTGCTATAGCGTTTCTGGATGGTATCAGCACCGCAGCCAAACCGGGAGGAAAGGAGTGAGGACCCCATTCCAAGGAGTCCTAAGAATCCTGGGCAGCGCGACGGACACACTTTGGAGCCAGCAGTCTCAGATCTTCTTATTCCAAATCTTCAATTTGAATATCTGATGTTGCACTAAGAGAAACAAAAAATAAACATGTAAGAACATAAAACCCAAAGACTCTTCTAGCCCCATGCGAAGACCCAARCCCCACCCTAAAAGGGAGAAGAAGTTACTTCTCTTTCTGAGGCTGCTGGCTCCAAAGTGCGTCCGTGCGCAGGTCTTCCTCGGTCTTCTTAGTGATGGTGCACTGCAAAAGAAAGAGAAGAGCAAAGTGACACTTGGGAGACTTCCTCCCCTTCCCCTTGGCAGAGAGACAGTCCTCCTGCCTTTTGCTCCTTACCCAGGATTCAAAGGACTCCTCTTGAAGGGAGTCCTCACTCCTTGCGTCAGGGTCGGGCTGCGGTGCGGATACTCTCCAGAAACGCTGTAAATGAGAGAGAGGAGACTTTGTTCAAATTCTGATCCTCTCCTCTTCGCAGAAGTACAGTGCTCCTGCCTTTCCCTCCTTACCCAAGTCTCCAAATCCCAGGACTCCTCGGAGGAGGATACTATTGTTTCATCTGGTTCACTAGAAAAGAAGAGAAAACAAATGTCAGCAACTGAACCTTGATCAAGGATGCTCACTAAAACATCCGTGAATTAAATTAAAACAAGTAGACGAGAAGGAGAAAGGGGGATACCTGGCTGGAGCCACTCGATTACTTCTCCTCCTCCGGCAGCATGAAAAGCAATCCTCATAAAACTTCCTGATGTTCTGCAAAGGAGAAAAGAGGACAAGGTCAGAGGGAAGAGGAGGGAGTCGCCTTGCGAGAGCAGCTGTTTGGGGGCAATGCTGTTTTGGCTTTACAACAGGCAAACACCCAAACACTTCAGGAAAAATGAAAACTCTTCGTGGAATTTATAAAGAATCAGAAGAAGATTATTATAATAGGATATGCTGACTAAAAACACTTTTAAGAAACTCATTATTGCTTTTATTTCTATGTCTATATATCTTAACCCCCCCCCCCCCCCACATCCTCTATCACCTAAAAAACTTTGGAAAATAGATATGGGTTTTTTTTTATCTCTCTTACTATTTTTAGATATTTTTTAAAAAATAGAGATATACAAACTTTGTGTATTGTTCAAAAATGAAGAAATGATGATAACAAAACATATTAAGTGCTTGCATATACAGTGCTAACTTACTAACAGATTAAATTACATGTTTAAATAATTAGGATCTAAAACAAATATTTTGATAATTATAATGATGAAGATGACCTTTTAATGAGCAAGAGCTGGGGCTGGAGACTGGAAGGCCATGAGATGATACTCAGAGAAGATATGAGTATTGGCCTTAATAAATAATAATAATAATAATAATAATAATAATAATAATCTCAGTTCTTGTGGGTTTTTTCGGGCTATATGCCCATGTTCTAGAGGCATTTCTCCTGACTTTTCGCCTGCAAGCATCCTCAGAGGTGAGGTCTGCTGGAACTGGGAAAAAGGGGTTTATATATCTGTGGAATGACCAGGGTGAGACAAAGGGCTTTTGTAAGTTGGGCTAGGTGTGAATCTTTCAACTGACCACCTTGATTAGCATACAATGGGCTGACTGTGCCTGGAGCAAAACTCTTCTTGAAAGGTGATTAGATGTCCCTGCCTGTTTTTCTCTCTGCTGTTTTTGCTGTTGCAATTTTAGAATTTTTTAATACTGGTAGCCAGATTTTGTTCATTTTCATGGTTTCTTCCTTTCTGTTGAAATTGTCCACATGTTTGTGGATTTCAATGGCTTCTCTGTGTAGTCTGACATGGTGGTTGTGAGAGTGGTCCAGCATTTTTGTGTTCTCAAATAAAATGCTGTGTCCAGGTTGGTTCATCAGGTGCTCTGCTATGGCTGATTTCTCTGGTTGGAGTAGTCTGCAACCAAAGACTGCCTTTTCTAGATGTCCTAGTCATCCGTAAACCAGATTATACTGATGGGTCACACTGTTTACAGAAAACCCACACACACAGATAGATATCTACATAAAAACTCCAACCATCACCCAAGTCAAAAAAGAAGCACCATTAAAGCCTTGGCAGACCGTGCAAAAAGAATCTGTGAACCCCACCTCCTCCAAGATGAACTGAACCACCTCAACTGGGCTCTACAGGCCAATGGATACTCCACCTCAGACATCAGAAGAGCTGCAAGACCAAGAACAAGCCACGAGAGTAAAGATGAAGATCCACCCAGAGGAAAAGTGTTCCTGCCATACATCAAGGGAACAACTGACCGCATAGGGAAGCTGATGAGGAAACACAACATACAAACAATCTACAAACCCACCAAGAAAATCCAACAAATGCTACGTTCAGCAAAGGACAAGAGGGATCCTCTCACCTCTGCAGGAGTCTACCGTATACCATGCAGCTGTGGACAAGTCCATAGGGACCACCAAACGCAGCGCCCAAACACGAATCAAGGAACATGAAAGGCACTGCAGACTACTTCAACCAGAGAAGTCAGCCATAGCAGAGCACCTGATGAACCAACCTGGACACAGCATTTTATTTGAGAACACATAAATGCTGGACCACTCTCACAACCACCATGTCAGACTACACAGAGAAGCCATTGAAATCCACAAACATGTGGACAATTTCAACAGAAAGGAAGAAACCATGAAAATGAACAAAATCTGGCTACCAGTGATATCGAGCCCTTTTCGTAGGGAGCTCCCAGCGGGAGGGATCCCTGAAGACCGCTAAAGGGGTCTTGAGACCTCGGTGAGCAGCCAGCAAAGCCAATCCAAAGAGCGAAAAATATTAAGAATCAATCTCACCAGAGGCTGAAGAGGTTCAGTGACCGAAGCGTTTATTTCTGCGATTCAGCTGAAAAGGATGCGTTACAGGAATGATTCCACTGCAAGCATACAGCACAAGAATTTCCAGGCATTTTTATACAGAGTGAAACAAAGAAAACAGTTTGAAAATCCCGCCCGCCCCCCTGACAGCCGGCTTCACGCTGATTGGCTGAGGCTGGAACAGCTGGGAGGAGGTAATCCCGCCCTCCCCCGTCAGGAGCCAATGGGAGCGTTTTCCCGCCTCGGGAGGGCCAATGGGCGCCCTCCGCTCGCTTCCTAGGTCCTGGCCAATCAGGAGCGAGGAGGCGGGACGAAGTTTGACAGCTCAGGGGGGAAATGGAGTGCCCAGGGGGCATCCGCCAGCTGTTACTGAGCCTTTGTTCTTATCGGCGGGGTGGCAGACAAGGGGAACAATGAGTTTCCCGGTCATGATTGGATTTGGGAGGAAGTATGAAGAAAGGTGGAAAAGGAGCTATTGATGGTATTTGGACCTCGGGCCTTGTAAACAAGGGGGATCAACAAATACCAAAAATTGAGTTAATCAATCTTTTTTCCTAAGGTTTTGTTGACCCTTCTCGCCCTAGGCTGTCTGCTCTGAAAGCCAGTTTGAGGAAGGGTCAATCAGGCGTTCCATGCAGATGTAGATATGATCAGTTTTTGAGAGGACAAAGGATTTCCTCTTTGCAGTAATCTTGGGTCACATTCCTTTTTGGGGCGAAGTTCAGGGGGAAAGGCGGGAAAGGGGAATCAGGGTATATTTCATATACATCTTATACATTTCATACATCTCATAAATGAATCCCCATCCCCACCCCAGCAAAGTTTATTGAAAAATAATAAATGTATTTCATTTTTGTAGGAATCATAGTCTTCTTTGGTGAAGGCGCACGTAGGCTGAGGCTGCTTGTCCCTCCAGGCAAGCCCGGTCTGAGGTTTGTGTCCAAAGGTATGGCAGGGAAACAGTCCAAGTCAATAGGGCGGAAAGTCAATAAGTGAGGGCAAAAAGAGTCCGAAGAGGAGTTCCCAACTGTGGATGGTGGGGCAATGTCCTTTGGGAAGCTGCATCTCCCCGGTCGGGGCCCGGGACCCATGTCTGGCCCCCTCTCCGGGGCTCCTACGGGCGACCGCCGTGGGTCTCAGGCTGCTGGACTCAATGGGGAGCGAGCGCTGCCGCGGAGGAGCGGAAAACCCGGCCAGATTGACAATCAGCTGTTTCTCTGCAAGATAAAATACCTAAAACAAAACTAATTTTTCCCCGGGTGAAGGAGCCCAAAACGAGAAAAGGGAAATGGCAGTTAGACTTAGGATTAGTTGTAGAAAGATATAAAATTGGAACGGCGGCGATCCGCCATCTTAAGTATTTTCGTGGATAAGGGGGTCTGAAATGGCGGTTTCCTTATCCGCGGTCTAGGCGAACGCAGATTCGGGGTCCGGGGGGCGCCTGGAGGCGCCTCCCGCGGGCTCACGGCTCTCCGGAGCCCAAAAAAAGGTCTATTGCAATGTTATTTTGTTTGAGTCAAGAAAGGATACAAAAGTAGCATGCGGAAAGATAAAAAGTTGCAAGTTTCAAGTACTTTTATTAGGGAAGGATACAAAGTAAAGGGAAGGGGAAAGCAAGGTGAAACTGCAAGCATTCCTGGTTTTGAGCTAGCTGCTGGGGCACATTTCATCTGTTGGTCCCAAAAGCTCGGTCCAGGAACTGCGGAACTCTCCGCTGCAGCTCACACCAATGTGAAGGTGGGGCTCCCCGCTGCGCTCGAGGTCACCAGTATTAAAAAATTCTAAAATTGCAACAGCAAAAACAGCAGAGAGAAAAACAGGCAGGGACATCTAATCACCTTTCAAGAAGAGTTTGCTCCAGGCACAGTCAGCCCATTGTATGCTAATCAAGGTGGTCAGTTGAAAGATTCACACCTAGCCCAACTTACAAAAGCCCTTTGTCTCACCCTGGTCATTCCACAGATATATAAACCCCTTTTTCCCAGCTCCAGCAGACCTCACCTCTGAGGATGCCTGCCATAGATGCAGGCGAAACGTCAGGAGAAATGCCTCTAGAACATGGCCATATAGCCCGAAAAAACCCACAAGAACTGAGTGATTCCAGCCATGAAAGCCTTCGACAATACAATAATAATAATAATAATAATAATAATAATACTTTATACCCCGCCACCATCTCCCCAAGGGGACTCAGGGCGGTATACATGAGGCCAAGCCCAACAACACATCAGTAAAACAACAAGACAGCAAGCAAATAAAACAGTACAATTAATATAACTCACATATAAGCAATCACACACAAAAATTTAAAACCTTATGGCCTTAATGTTTACTGACCATACTTACTTTGAGTAGGATTCTGAAAGCCATTTTCACTGATGATAGCGACAGAAGAAACAAACCGAGACAGACCGAGTCAGGGAAGCAGAATGTCTCCCTTTCACTGGACCGTGGCAACGGAATGGGCAGCACTGGATCTGGTTCGGAACTGCGTTCTTAAAGCAACGGTGTAAACAAAGGGGAACCAAGCTCCAGGGAAGCAATGGCCCCTTTCCAAATCCATACAAATAGAATAGTTACCCAACAAAATCTGAAACTAGTGATATTTATTTACTGTGTTTATATACCACTTCTCTCACGATCTGGGGAGACTCAAAATGGTGTACGTCAAATAATGACAAGACTCAATCCCAACATATATACAAAACCAAGCATAATAACTAAAACGATAACATATAACTATAAATTAAACCAATGAAAATCATATTAAACATAGAACATAGGAAGGCAGGGAGTTTCAGAAAAACATGATTTCTGTTTTATTGACTGTGGATCATAATAAATGGTGGCAAGTTCTTGGTGGTATGGGCATACCAAATCACCTTGTCTCTCTCTTGAGGAATCTGTATAA